CACCCAGTACTTTGAACATTTGAGCGACGGTTTTGGTGGCTTTCTTACGGTTTTTCGTTTCAATGAAGGAGCAAAGCGAAGAGATTTTTGAAAGTGGTATGAGTGTTAAAATAGAGTGTTCAGGTCGATTACAATTGCAAAGAGATCCACGAACTACGCTGTCTACGGCATATTTATATCACTTATTGTCCTTAAGCACTGATTGAGCTGATCCTGAGGTCTTTTCAACAATCTGCTAACCATTGACCGTTAAGATAAACATCGCATTAATCTAACTGATGGCATACAAAACACCCTGGTTAAAGTAATTTACGGAGGCCATTAGGCAATAGCTCCAGTGGGGGACCGTGATTGGATAAAACTCCGCGTCCGACCTCGTCATTATTAGTCCGGTTGCTCCACAAGACTCGTGCAATGTGACGCAAACAGCGGCGTGCAAAAAACGATAGTCCCTCTTTATCCTGTTCCCGTAAGGCCTAAATACCCGCACCAAATTGCAACACCAACTGAACTGCTCCAACATGCATTTGACTCTTCACCGGATGTCACAAGCTGTAAAACGCCAACTGACCTTTCTGTATACATGCCGAAACTTTATCCGAGATTTGTCCAACAGAGATAGAGATGTATAGGTTGCAAAATTCGTCTGCTCCATTTCATCCCCTCTTAGAATGTGATTGGTGCTAGACCAAACCACTCCTGCATCAGCATTTTAAACAATGCATGTCAAATCAGATGCTCGAGATAAAAGGTTACACGGCTGGCGTTGCTATCTTTCCTTCAGCTTCATCATTAACCCAATTTCATATTTTGCTCTCTTCAACTTATCAATACTTTAACTTTTACTCCAATTTACTCTCGTTTATTCTTATCAAGTTTCCATGAGAGGGAAAAAATTAACAATCACCTAGACATGAACGAATTCACTACAGATGACTGACTACTTTAACTGAAATCCTCATTAAAAGCTTCCATTTTTGCAATGCAAAGCAGCAGAGATAAGAATAAATGCAATCGATTGGTAATTTGTCATCGTAGGCATCAACAGTGATCGGAGCAGCACAAAGAAATGATCCCACAACCAGTGAGCTTGTGATTGACCTCCTCTGTTCTCTATCCGATTCACTTTCACACGAGTCATGTGATCGGACAAACTTCCCGAATTTGGCCGGCAAATAAGAATTGGGTCACGCAGGTGGTGGTGGTTGTATTGCGGTCGTGAGTGAGGTAAACACACCAATAACTGTTTGCATGCCAATGATTCGCTACTATCTGTGAGGACACACTTACACTGGTCCAATGCATTGGTCACGTGATCGATCCGGTGTGAAAAATGGGAACAAAACCGAGGAGAAAATAAACTCAGTAGTAATGCACGTGCAGAGCGGCAATACTCTCGGTTGTGAAAGTAGCGATCTGAACGGTAAGTGAAATAGGCGTTAAAGAGTGGAAGTGTAACAACTCATGGGACTGAACGTTAAAATAGCAATGAAAACGGATAGAAAGAATCAGATCGACTTACGAGTAACCCACAAAACGCGGAGCGAATCGCTGTATTTGTGTTTTGAATTGATGCGGGCTGACCGAAGAATCACGTGGCTCAGGTTCCCATAAGTCTTTCATCAAGGATGCATAGGCTGGAAGAACCAAATAGTCACGATACAGTAAACAGAGAAGAATGGTTGGTGTTTTTGTATAAGATTAACCCAAATCGAACACAAAAATAAAACTAAAGAGTGATGCGTACAGTTATTGTAACTCTGGAACCGTTCACAGAGTGAAAGGGTGAGCAGCACGGCAAGATTATCGTCTGGAAAATCATCGTTTTCACTATCACTTCGCTGTTTCAGTTGCGATTTCACTTAACAGCCTTAAGTCATATTTAAATGCGATTAAGGGTCAAAGAGATGCTTGCAGTGATGCCGGAAATGTTTCACCATGTTCGAGAATGAAAGTGATCTTTATCTAAACAGAGTATAAGCACCAGCTAGATAACAAGATAGCCGCGAAATTGTAGCAGAAGAACAACGCATCACGTGAAATAATTTTCAACAGAGCCTTAACCCTTTTCAAAATATGTGAGAACTCATTATCGGAAAACGAAAGCCCTTCGGGCGTTGCATCTTTCAAAACTTTTGGAGGAATCCTTCCGGTGATGAACGCGTTTTCACCGAGCTAACAGTAACATAAAACAAATGAAAGCGTCAACGTTATCTAACGACAAGCCCTAAATTGAAATCCATGAGGAGGTACAGACTGTTATGGAGCCAATTTGTACCCAGTATTCAGTAGTTCAGT